GCGAACTAGTCGAATGACAGGAGAGTTCGATGATAGTCTGATAGTTAGGTTGCCTAAAATCCCACAATTCTGCAAATTTAACACAGCTCACTAGTAGTATGACAAGTGCGGAGAGGTATCTAGATTTTTCGACAGCCTACGATTCCTCAGCTTTGTCAAAAGATCACAATTGCGATGGCTAGGCATTTTATAAGAATCCTGAATGAGTGACTCGTCAGGCGCATTCATTTGGGAAAGTAAGTCTCAGGGAAGATGGTCCAGGCGGATCTGATGGCCCATTACATAACAAAACCCGCCATTGTCGTATTCCGCATTTCAGCCCATTGTACTTGTCCGTTTTGACAGCCGGCCTTTCCTGCTGACAAAGATCATAGAGGTGCGCAAAGCTAAGGTGAAAGGAATAAATTAACAATGCCAAAAAATCATGCAAAATAAAACATCGGAGTAAATTTGTGAAAAACTACTCACGCTAATACAATAGACGGGCTTTCGTGAACGATCCAGATTCTGACTGGAGTCTGACTTAGTGTTGGATGCGACGGTGCTGTTCGAAACTACTTTCGCAGGTTCGTCCCTAAAACTCAACGTCAACAACCTGCAGAGCAACAAATGACCAAAAACAAAGCACAATTCATTTCTACCTGTTTGCAGCAAGCACTGAGATTGACAATGGTGTTTCAGACGACGACTTCAGTAAACTCTGAAGAACAAGGCGAGGTGCCGACTGATTCGAAAATGACAACGACGTGCCGCTGCCCGTCGCTGAAGTGGTCAGCTTTATGGTGCTTGAACGACTTGCAAATGACGGCAGGATGTTGAGCTTAGTCGTTTGAGCTAGGCCGCTAGTAATGACGCTAGTGGTGGCATGAGGCCAAGCGTGCGATGTTGTCGCAGTACATGATGGCGATGTTTCTTGCGAACATGACAAAGAAGACATTAACGGAGTTGTGTCGTTACGAGAACTGGAATCATCAGATGCTGAAAAAACAAACATAACTGAAAAGCATATTAGACAGATAACAAAATCTTGCTATGCTGCGCATCGCTTAAAAGACATCCCAAAAATTATCCACTTGATGTCCTTACGTAGTTTGAAAGAGAGCGAATGATCGCGTAAATATTTCCGTGACTGTGTGCCAAATAAACGTCTTTTAGACTTAGAGCCTTCAAACAGTACCTGAGAATCAAACTTATTTGCGAACGCCAGCATACGGTATTTTAGTCACGGGGAAACTGAATTTGTTTCTTTGTGCTACAGTGGAATTTATCATCAAATACTGTAGATACAAAAAGATTACAATGGCATGAATTCTCAGGTACATGAGCAATATTTTTTGTACATCTAAAGCCCCGTTGTATGGTATCTCATTCATGATGGATTCCTAGAGGTGGTTATCAGGGCTGGATTTGAGGAATCTTTTTAATAGAGGAGATTTCTTGCTCAAATTCTCAACTTGCTACAATATAACACGCTTTCATCTTCTGAATACGGAAGCTATTACCGTATGTCTGTGCAGTTTTTCAGTGAAATTTTTCCGTTTCACATGGACAAGGTTGTGCGTTTACCTGCTGACCATTCCATGTAAGCTGTAGTTTCTGTATATGAACATTCAAAACATAAGATTCTCTAATTTCCTTTTCTAGCGTTGTTTAATGCCATTTCGTTCTCAATTACTAGGCCTGTTGGAGAACAAATCACCGGATAAAAGCGGCACCACTACTCTTCATAATTCGCCCAGCATTTCTTATTGTACATCTGAAATCCTCACATTTGCCTCGTTGGCACAGTAAGCTTTCATAGACTACATACGTTAAAATAACATTAATATCAAGATTTTGGTTTACACCAACTACTTCGATTTACAAGCATATTGTGCTAAAACCATTTAATAATATTTATTAATCTCAATATCATGACAGCTCAATCGAAAGAGCACAAGACTCGATACCGAAATCTAATCTAGGCTTGGCTTTAACATCTTACAACTTTCACCATATAAAAATTATTTTACGTAGGTAGGAAGGAAAGCATATGCTGTAGGGGCCACAATACGATCGGTTGCCTTCAAAGTAAAAATAGTATGGAACTCAATGCTTATAACGTCGTAAGGGAGAATAGCACTGCCTCAGAAGCTTGCATGTCTTACTCCTACTAAAACAGATCAGATCTTGAAAACCTGGTAAAACAGACAGCTACCCTGTCATAAACAGGGCTACTATATTTGGTGATAATAGTCATACGGATTGGGAAAATCCGAAGACTTCGCATACCCCTCCAGAATGTTGATTATAAAGTACCACACGAGGTCAGATCAACAGAAAACATAAGCGTTTGCTAAATCATTCGTACACTCTGTTACCTGATGCCTAATCGACAAGGACAATGACATTCAAATGTTTGAAAAAAAATCTTCAACGATTATCGCATCAATGAGGAACCCATCCTCTATGTTGACCCGCTTTTGCTTTTACTCATTCACACTGTATAGGAAAAAACGTTTGAATACAAACTGGTTGCATGTATAGTACTGATGGTCGATATATAACGGTAAAATCTGTTAAACTTTTAAATCACCTTATTCAAAAAGGTTTCCAACTTCTTCATTATCTCCTCATAAAATGATGTTTCAAATCCCCCCTTCGTGGAAGTAAAGAAAAGCTGGAATCCCAGAAGTTACAGCTTCTATTTTCTTTCTCCCTGATGCTAACTTAACCAGGCATACAATCTGAATCAGTAGCTTGCCGTTCGTGCTTGAAGGCAGATCTGCTTAAAGACCGGTAGAAACGGGGAGAGGAGGGGAACTTTAGTTCAGATAGCTACTTGAATGACGACGAAATCGCTTACTCTGTAGTGATGTGGTCACAGGCTCGGTCTCACTAGACGGCGATGAAGAGGTCGTCACGACCTTCGTCACTGTCGCTGTCGCTGTCATGTTGGTGGTGAAGCTGTTGTCCTTGTACAGGCCATAATTGGTTAGCGAGTCGTTGAACAACTGCGCCGCATAGTCCGGCGTTTCCGGGACCGGTCTTTTGGTAGGAACTGATTCGGTTTCAACGATCGTTTCGGTGGCAACCTTTGATTTCTTCACTTCAACCTGCTCCAGTCGTTCGGTTCTTTTCGATTTTTTATGCTCATCTTTTGCCGCCTTCTTGGCTGCTCTCTCCTGTGCTTCTGAAACCAACAACAAGAACGTATAGAAAATTTACATTACAGAGCTACAGTTTCTGCATGGGCTTAACTAACACAAAATCTTAAAAATTGATTAGCAGATAAACAAGATCTACAAGACAAACGAAGCAGTGAAAAACGTATTAACAAATAAAAAGTAGTAATAAATGAAAGGCCTTTTTCTGCCACGTTGCAAGGAAGGACATATAAAAAAAATGATGAAAAGGTCAACCCGATTACCTATGTAGTCCAAAGCATTACGCTACCAATATTAGTAACATCGTCACGACAGAAAATATAATCGATAATGGGTTAATTCATAGCAACGTTGTTTTACAGTTGGGTGCTCTAAGCATTTACTGTGAAAATGTTCAAGTGATCATCTTAATGGGACTAAAATCGAAAAATCTTTTAAGAAATCTTCAATGTCATTTAAACACAGTCCAGTGCCTTTAAATTTCACATCTTTTCAATGCAAACGGTTTTGGGTATGACAGACGATTCTCCTCTCTTGTTTATTTTAACGTTGCGACTTCCTTCACAGAAAGCATCATCAAAAATAATTCACAAAATAATCATACGGTAGACAGTTGGATAATAAAGTACAAAAAATTACAAACCAGCCAGTGGCCTAAAAGACGAAGGCACAAATGTATAACAAAATTAAATGAACTTTAGAAGAATGGATAAACAAAGCGAGGTAAGGGCGTAAAAGGAGTTGCCATCAGAGAGAGCGGCGTTGAAACTACAGAAGCTGAGGGTTAAATGTTAAATTAACCGAAGG